TGTGTCATTATCACTGAATCTCACGGAAAGACCCGATTCAACAAAGTCTATCTCTCAGTGCTTTCCAACTTCAGCCCCAAGCCCATTCATTCCTACAGAAGATGCAAATCTTTAAAAGCTTGGTCACAAATATCACGTTTCATTGAAGCTACGACATTCCCTAAAACAGTTGGGCACTGTATTTTTATCAAATGTTACTCAGACAGGACTAAATGTTCAGTACAACTGTTGGTTACTTAACCTCACATTTGGTTAGCTGGCTAGTATTTGTGCAGCACTGTGTATGTGGGATTGACTCAAAATAACCTACAGAGGCCATGTTCATGGTAATTTTCTGTAACCGCTTATCCTGTTGGGGGTCGCGAGGGGGATGGGGCCTATCCCAGCTAACATTGGGCGAGAGGCAGGGTACACCCTGGACAGGTCACCAGACTATCACAGGGCTGACACATCGAGACAGACAACCATTCACGCTCACATTCACACCTACAGCCAATTTAGAGTCACCAATTAACCTCACCAGAATGTCTTTGGATTGGTGGAGGAAGCCGGAGTACCCAGAGAAAACCCACGCTGACACTGGGTGAACATGCAAACTCTGCACAGAGGGGCTCCCCCACCCTAGGTTCAAACCAAGAACCCTCTTGCTGTGAGGCGACAATGCTAACCACTGCACCACCGTGCTGCCTACCATGGGAGGAAAAAGGGACCCATGGGACTGTTGACAATTAGAAAAATGTGTAACATCACCAACCATATCCCTCTTGGCATAATATTTAAAATGCCTGCATACTATAAGGGCCTTGACACACCAAGCCTACGGGGGCCGTCAGTAAATGTTTGCCGTGTTAGTTTTTGTGGTGTGTCACGCATCGTTGGCACTAGTCGGCCCTTGTCAGCCCTTGTCACCTATTTTTTGCCAATTCAGTGTGTTGAAACAGTGTTGCAGTAAGTGAAATCACTCTGATTTGGCAGTTCAGCCCAATGCACGAGAAAAAAATGGAAGTGAGGAAAGCAAACAAACAAAATGGTGTAAGATCTAATCAAACTGTTTGTTATTGTTCGCTAGCACATGGAAAATATCATTTAGTCTTTCAATATCAGGTTGCGCTGTTAATGTGCTAACTGGCTAACAAGCAGCTTGAATCCACCCTGTCCGTCTTTCTGTTTCCTTTTTAAACCAAGAATACAGACTACCAACACCTGCTGGTATGGAGAGTTATTTCCTCTCATGCAGGCACAGAGTGTAACTGCTAGTTGGCCATTGGCTGCAGTCTTTGCAGTTTGTTCAAGTGCAACTTTTTGGCCGGGGGACAGGAGAAGTGAAGCGACACAACAGTTGGCCTTTATTGCCGCCAGTTCTTTGACGTAGGTTTGGTGTGTCTGGGGCTTGAAGTCCTTAGCCAGCGATGTCTGTTAGACCGTTGACACCTCAAACTGCAAAGAGGTCAATTATGACTCTTTGTATTGAGAATTTTTAAACCGTGAAGGCTTAATATTTGTAAAACCTTTATGTTCAGAAGTGTTGCGTGAGAACTTTCAATGGAAGGGATAGGAATTTGTACCATCGTCAGAACCCCTATTGTAGAGTATAATAAACAGTATCTTCAATTAGAGGAATCCGTGCAGGCAGTCCTACGTGGACTTGTGAAAGCAGTAGACTGAAGTACTCATCAACTGACTGTAGTGTCACATTGGTCTCTTTTTAATTTATCCTGGGTACAGACAAGTCTCGGGATAATCTAAAACTGGGTGTTACAGCCCTGAATTAAATGATGGACCACCAGGGAGGAGCCTGCCATACAAAGTCTCTGACAGTCAGTCACATCTGTCGAGGAAGAGGAAGCAACGGGTGGAGTCAACAGAAGCGGGTGACCACAGCCTGCTCCCTGATCCCCACACACACTGCCTCCATGTCCCACAATAAAGCAGCACACTCATCTGCTGATGGCCTTCCTTCAAAAAGAAAACACTGCATGCATTTAATGTGATTAGGAGTTTTCAGTCTGCTGCTTCACAGCTGAGATTTAAGATCAAATGAGAGGATCAGATGAATGCCACAGCTGCGACCCACAGATGTGAATCCAAACGCTAAAACTTACTTTAAGGCCCTTTCTTGCGTATAATTCCAAGAGCAAATAACCAGTGTGGATAATTAACACCAGGCATCAGTGAAATGTTGGCATCTGCGGGCATATTTAGTCAGTGGACCACAAGTTGGTTGACTTTACCTAAACTTAACCAATCAAAACACTGACTGGGATAAGAGTAAAAGTATCAAGTGAATCAAGTTAAATTCACTTTTAAAGAAGGTTGCTGAGTGTGCGAAAACATTGTACTTGTAATATGATTTCCCAGAGGAGCCAGGAAGGTTGGCACGTATCTACATCTCAAATGTAATGCTCAGACGGACAATGACACTAAGTTATCCAACCACTTACCCAAACAAAAGCTCCAAAAAAATGTTTTGACCTGATATGGCCTATGTGCTGACAAAGCTGGAGTGTTGTGAATTAGCTATATTTTTAATGACAAAACTTCTTTCCTGGCCACATCTTTCTGTCAATTAATAACCAGAGAAGCACTATGAGGTACAAATCTGCTCAGTCAGTGCAGTACTTTTTCAAATCTATTTCTGTTTTGAGTCTGTAATTTCGGTGGCTCCATTACAACATTATTTATTTAGATTATGAATCATGCGGCCCCAAGAGAAGAAACCACAAAACTACGGTCTTCAATTACAGACCTCACAGCCTGTAGCCACGCCTTGAATGAATCCCCTCCTCACAACCTCGTCTACACTAAAGGGACTCTGAATATGACACAGTCAAGGAAGGTTTCTGACACAAAGTCCCCCCGCACACTTGTGCTCTGCTATACACATAACAGCAGGCCTGGGCCACATGGGCTCCAACCATATGTTATAGAGAGTCGAAAACCCTCACACGTTTCTCTTCCAAACACGACACCAAAACTAACCTTCGCTGGCTGGTGTGTCCTCTGTTAATAATAAGCCAGTCTGGCTGATGAGGTGACTAGTCGGACTGAAGAGCTGCACACACATGGCACCTGCAGCACATGTTTGCAGGCTAATCAGCTTGGTCTGCAACAGTGCATTGTTTATGAGTTCCCTGTGTTGATTTATGAACCAGTGTTTTGTGGGAAAAGATGGAGAAAGTATGGTATGAAGAAGAGAACTCTGTAAAAGTATGTGTTGCAAGTGTGTGCGTGTGTACACATGACAGAGATGACAATGGTGGCAGTCGTAGAGACACACAAACTGGAGCTTGACCGATGAATCTGCCGGGCCAATATATAAGCCTCAATTATCTTATCGGACATATATCGGTTTCTGCTGATACACAACAAGAAACTTGCAGAACAGAAATGCCAAAGATATGTCTAAGGTAATTTAGAAACAGTGTCTCTTTGTCCATAAATGAGTGCTGGGAAGTTTATTTAAATGTACGACTCAGTACATGCATTAGTCACAAATCATTTAAAAACTAATTTTAGTGACGCTTAGCAAAAATGTTTGTTGTATGTTTTGTTATTATGAAATACCTTGTCAAATATTGATATCTATATCAGCCTAAAAAAATCCAGTACTGGTCTGGACATATCAGAATTGCAGATTAGTTCTCAATCCAATACGTCACTAATCATAAAAATATCTGGCAACAATTAAGCAATCAAATAATTGTTTTGAATAGTTTTTAAAGGGAAAAATGGCAAATAATTATCTGGTTCCAGCTATACAAATGTGTATATCTGTTGTTTTCCTTAATCTTTAACAATAGTAACCCATTTTTTTAGCTGATGACAGCTTTAAAATGATTTTGTCATACTTAGGACTGTGTCACTTATTACTGTTAAAAATGCATGTAAGGTTTCATGGTCTTTTTTTAGGACTTGCTACCATGGCATATCTGTGATGCTTTTATTGCCCTTGCATTCAGGAGAAAAAAAACAAATGGTGCATTCCTGGACACTATTTACCTTAGTATCCATCAATGTGTGTGCTTTCTTTTGTCTTAGCAGCCCTGTCATGTATTGTAATCCCAGCTCAGGTCTGGGATACAGCAAAGCTCTCCAGCTGCACTACCCGGGACAGTTTAAAGGCTGGAAGGTGCTGTGGCTGGCATGCAGCCCAACTGCAGGTCAATACTTCCAGAGACTCTGCGACTGCAGTGCCTCCCTTGAAATATGTCTTCATTTCCCCTGCTGCCCCTCACACCCAAAGCAGAGCAGTCAGCCTCTCCTCTCCTGTATCACATAACGTTTATCCCCCCCATCTGTGTCCAACGACAACCACTTGGTAAACTTTTCACAAAGGAGCTCCTCTTTGCTCACCATGTGTGACACCCACAATGCTCCCATTTCGTGTCTATTTTGGTGCCCCACGAATCGATGCTGTTCCTCAGTGAGTTTCTATGTGAGTGGAAGAGAAACCAGCCGGTATTTCCCTCTCACAGTCCCTGAGTGATGCAAGCTAAGTCATGATGATGTGACATACTGGAAGTAACGTTAGCTAGAAAATGCGTGTATAACATTAATTCCCAGAAAATCCGTGCTGCGCAAAGTTATCTCCTGTCCCGACTGGAATGATGTGGTATGGAAATCTAATTGAGATAGCTTGTGTATGATAAGCAGTGCCTCTATATTGTAACTTATAAGTTGACTAACGTTAATAAGAACCGAAGTTGTATTAAAATGTGAAAGACAAGCGAGGTTTAGCTAACTGTGAACTAACGCCAGCAGCTAACTTACTTTCCCACCGACGTAATGCTGGATAACTGTCCCCACACAAGAACCGTTAGCTTAAATGAAGCTAGCAGGCTTTGAACGCAACACAGCCCATTCCAACACAATGAGGACTGGCCGGTTTTGGCGTTTTGAATCGGCGACTGACGCCACAGACTCCGAGCTGCTCCACCGCAACTTCTATCAGTGGCCTCAAAAGTAGCCCGGGCAAAATGACAAAGAAACGGTTAACTCACAGGTAAGTCCGTAAAAGACGAGAAGTGTTGTTAAAAGTCGCAGTCCGTTATGTGGCAAAATCCTCCTGAGCGCTGATCTTTTCTCCATGATTCCCGTCTGTGTGTGCGCTCTGGCACTCTGTGAGCCGTCCTCCTCGCTCCTCGCTCGTCCCTGCTCTCTGTGGCTGACTGGCTGGCTCGAGCTCCTGGGGAGCTTCTCTCCATAGCGACCGATCCGCGTGGGCTGTACCACTTCTGCAGGACAACAAACAGACACACACGTAGCCTACGCACGCACACACACACGGTCCTAATCATCCCCATTTGATTTGAATTGTTCTGCTTGAACACTGGACACCTCTGAGATGTAATGGGTTATAAAGTGGGGCCAGAATATGTTGTGGTAACTTGGTGGTATCAGTTGGAGTAGCAGAGGTATTGCTGCATACAGCAGTACCTGTAAAAAGTATTGTTTCTGTCGTCCAGTGTCAAAAACACATGACACACAAACATGAAAACTTCCATGAGGGATGAATCAATTTCATAGGAGCCAAAAGTAGACTATATATGAGCAGTGGTGTAAAGTAACTAACACATACTTAAGTACTGTATTTAAGAGAAAATTTGAGGTACTTGTACTTCACTTGGGTCTTTTCTTTTCATGGCACTTTCTACTTGCACACCACCACATCTCAGCAGGGAATTACTGTACTTTTTTACTCCACTACAGTTATCTTACAGCTTCAGTTACTTTGCAGATGCAGATTAATAATACAAAATATGATATAACAAATAAATGATGGTGTGTAGATTTAACTACCTTGCAGTAAGTTATGATTAGCTACACCTTTGATAGTTGCAGCATTAAAGCAATGATGCACACATGAATGCATCAGTAGTATGACATACATTGGTCTGAAATGACCAATGTATGTCATTCTGCATAATGACCACTTTTACTTTTGGCACTTTAAAGGAGCACTGTGTAGGGTTTAGTGGCATCTAGTGGTGAGGATTGCAGACTGCAGCTACCTGAAACTTCTCCCATGTGCCAAGCGTGAGTGTGAACTTCTAGTAAGGATTCCTTCAGTGTTCGTTGTTTGGGTGGTTTTTTTTTCAGGAGCCAAATTATCCGCAGAGGTCTCTTCCTCTCCAAAACAAATGGGCCAGGAAATATCAACCAGTAAAAACACTGAATAAAGCAGTTTCACGATGCAAATCAGTGTTTCTCCAACACTGTTTGGATTGTCGCAGACAGGCTCAGTTTTTCTCTCTGATAATTCAAGATAACTCGACTGAAGACACCAAAGAAAGCACTTTCACATCACAATCAATGTTTTTCTACAGCTGTTCAGCTCAATGGAACTATGGTGGCCGGCACCAAAACATGAATGGCCTTCTCTAGAGCCAGTGTTTGGTTTATCAATTATGGGCTATTGTAGAAACATGGCTGTGCAACATGAGTCTGGCGAGGACCTGTTCCCTATGTAGATATAAACAGCTCATTCTAAGGTAACAAAAACACAGAGCTTCTCATTTTCAGGTGATTATACGCTAAAGAAAACATACCTCTTGTATTATATTGTATTACTGCCAATATGTCACACTAAACCCTGAACACTGGACCTTTAAGTAAAAGACCTGAGTACGTATTCCACTATTGTGTACAGTGAAGTAAAAGTCTGTGGTGAAAATATTACTAAGTAAAAATTGTATTATTAGCAAAATATAAAAATAAAAGTATCCTCTGCACAAAAGTGCTATACTATTTCATAATATTATATTAGAATATCAATTATGATGTGTTGTAAGTAGCATTTTACTCTGCAGCTGCAACTATTTCACTCAGTTGACAATCTGTTAAAGTACATCATCACATGTTTTGTATGTAAAATCTTAATCTGAAATGTTTCTATGTAGTAAAACATGCAGTCCAGTATTTTTCCTTTAAACAAAATAACATTGGTTATTAGAACGTTATTCATGAGACTTCTTAAAAACATTAAAGCTGTTGGACAGGACCCAGGCGGGATTACCAGCTGGAGATAGTGAGCAGCTGCCCTGAGGCCCCAAAACCTCAGGGGGCCTGAGGGCTCCCAGCCCTCCATGTGGCAATTTGTTTTAGGTAATTTGATTAACTGAACATTTGTGTAGTAATACGGTTTGTAACACTAAAGCAGTACATAAACTGCCATGTTAAGGGCCCTAAATTGACACTGAATCTGTTAGAGCGAAAAGCTAGTTTCATGGCCTTTATAATGTCAATTTCTGTTTCACATATATTATGCATATTCCTTAAAAATGTGCTTAATTAAATTAACAAATTACTAATCTCTAATACACAGTTTAGGAAGTGGGACAGACAGAGGTGGGAGGGTCAATTAGGAGCCCCCTGGAGGGTTAATCTGAACTTGGGTAGAACACAAGTGGATAGCTGTGAAGCATTTACATAGCGATTATAAAGTGATTGTTATGCATAAAAAGAATTAAATGAAAGTGTAATTTTGTTGGATCAGTAGGGAATCCCCGTGTTTCGAGAGCACGCTTGTGATAACATGCACACTAAACTGCAATGAAACCATCAATTGTCCAAATAACCGTTTTACCTTTAAGCATGATTATCTTCTTCACAGCATTGTCTTCACTGAGGAGACACTGGCACGTTCCATAGGTGTTGTAAGATCAGACCTGCAGCGGGTTACACAGCAGACTCTCTAACCCATGACCCAGATTATTTATAGATCAAGCTTCCATATGCAGGTTTCGAATAATGTCGTTCACTTGGGCTCACACACTCTTAGCAAAATCAATCAATCAGTCAGTCAAGCAAGGATAATACAGGTTTACAGAGCCAGAGCTTCCTTTGCTACCAGGCTGCAGCTACATTCAGTGCACAGTGATTCTGTTCCTAAATTAAAAAAAATAAGAAATATACACATTTTTGAGCATAATAAGAGTGTCACCTTTACCACTGTGTATCAAGCACATTTATCGTTTGCAGAAATTAAGGCTCAAAGAAAATAAACAGCCACAGAGGAGAAATACTATCATTTTTGCACCGCTAACCAGGCTGAATTCCACAGAAATGTAAATCATCATGTAAATGTTGCAGTCACATATTTTGTAGACAATGTGGAACCAGTGTTATATGAGTATTCTGAAACTGTGGGGAAAAACGAGGAAGTGAATGTGAAAGTTAATATAAACCCCAGGAGATCTGCTACTGAAGGACAAAGCAGTCGCATGCAAGAAAGCGCTCCACTGATTTCTGTGTCTGAATAAATGTGCACACTGTGACGACTCCGTACTAAAACAAAGTGGTAATGGAGCACTCCCTTGCATTGTTCTTTTCTGTGAGATAATTACAGCTTTTACACATTCAGGAATCCAGCGTTGTGTGCAGCACGGTGTTATTATCACGCACTGCAGCTTGAACTGATAAACATGCACCCTCAGCAGTTTTAGGCGGACATCATATTTATTCACTGAAGATAAGCAAAAAATGCTCGTCTCCATGTGATTCCCTCTCGTTGAGCTTCCTATTTTCGCTCTGCTGTGACGTCTTCATAGCCCATATTAGAGTCCTCATCAGGGGATGTGAACCCTCCGGGGAGTCTCCATCTCCTGCAAAATTTAACCCGCTGCCTCTCCCAGCGCTACAGCTCAGCATCACTGTGATTAAAGCATGACCCATGATATGTCACTGCACCATACCCCCTGCCTTTGTGCCCTCCGGTGGTTTATTTATATCCTCAAAGAGCTATAAATCCCCAGGTGAAAGTGCTGCCCTTTTCACCAATCAATCTCCCCTCATGGGCCACTTTGCATTGGAACAGTAAAGTCAGAGCAGTGACGAGGCTCTTGTATTTATGAGAGAATAAATCACATCTTATTTTCTCCCACAAAACATTGACTCCGTTAATGATATCACCAATTTGGGTGAAATAGTTTCAGCGAGGGTTATTTCACACCACTGGCATAATTTTGCTGCAGAAATGCTGCAGAAACCCCCTCAGTAGCACTAAATAGTTTATGAGCATTTATGGCCCATGACCTTTGTAATTGTGGTTACCTCATTGAGGTTTTATGCAGCAAAAATACTTCTCAGTAAGCTCTATTACATTTTCTTCCAGGCAAGCAAAGCTGCACTGGCACCACCTCCCCTGTGACCAGTGGGTGCACATCCACACAGACTGTCTGGGACATTTGGTTTTACAGTCTGTGAAAACAGCCTTTGTTAAACGCAGCATTCCTCACTAGTCACATTGGTGAGCTGGTCCTTGTACACCTCAAAACCTCCTCACCCCCCAACCCCCACCCCCTCACCCCCTTCTGTAGCCACTCTCATGGTCCCATCCCCTGCCAGAGCTTGACCATCTAGAGCAGGGAGAGGTCACCTCACTGCTGACACTACACACTTGTGTTTGCAGCTCCACACAGGTCTCCCCCATAATGAGCTCCCTCTGAAATGACCCTCTGCAGTGCACACTGACCTTTGGAAGGCATACAAGAAGACAATTAAGACTGCGTACCTGTTACAGAGCTCACATCACTGAAGGATAAAGCTTTTACGAGTAGGTTTGGTAACAGACCTGCAGGTTAGCTGTGTATTTTTAAAGTGTAGTTCAACACTACTTCACCAGTATTAAGTTCTCTGTGAAGGTGTGAATATAATTGGGAAAATTAAGTGACTGAAATGAGTGTTTACAGTTCAAACTAATTAACATTCATACACAGTCATGGTGTAATGTATTTGCACATGCTGGTTTAGAGACAGAATGCCACATGCAAGTGTAGGTGTATACAGCAGTGTGCAGTACGTTCACATTAAGGGTTCCCTAACAATCTGTGGTTTAACCGAAACCATAAACACCAAAGAAAATAGGTCATATCCGTTGTAATATAAAAGTAAAGGCAATGTGAGATGATGACTACAGTAAAAACATTTCAATTTACTGAGAGTGAAACTGCAAAAGCAGTGCATCCAACTGTTGGGAAAAAAGTGTTGCAATGGATTTAGATCGCCATCTGCTGGAATTAAAGGATAGGTTTACAATTTTCCAAGTCTGTCTTGTTTCAGTGTGCATACTGGTCCAAACTGATACAAGCTGCAACCTGTCAAGTATTATAAATGAGTTCAGTCTGCATTCAGGTCATTGACAAGTTTAACCACCTGCC